TTTAAAGTGTAAAATAATTCAAAATCACTCCAGTTATTTTTTTACCATCTGTCAGCCTTGTGCTGCTTTATGGTGGGAATAACTGAAGGTGGGGACAAAACAAAACCCTACATTATTGTCTGTTCAAAGTTAAGAGTCCATAGCTCCAATTTTACTGACTGTAACTAAAACAACGTGATCATTGCACTTAATCTTCACTCAAACAAGTGTGTAAACAGATTAAACATCACTCTAATAACAAGAGCAAAAAATAAATAGTAAGAATTAGTCAGTTATTTAAATAGATAGCTACCTTTCTTACTGCTGCATTTTCTGAGCATCATGTGGAGATCAGCCTCTCTCTCCTGCAGGGAGCAGTTTTTATCACTGCTCTCGTCATGTCGAAACAAAACCTGCACTCTCCTTTCTTCTGTCCATCAAGAGCTAATCCACGGGATGTCAAAACTGTAAGCGTGCTGTCCTCGCTTTTGCCAGCTTAGAACCACCGACCGGACCAGAGAGGAGGTTCCGAAACAGAGCGGCTGTGTGCGGTCACTGGACCGAGGCTGAACGAACCGAGCCGAACCGCAAAGCTGCTGCCAGGGTGGAGAGTAGTTGTCGCTCCGGTTTAAAACGTTCACGGTTCTGTGTTCCCCCTCGGAAAACTTGTGTGTGACAACTTTGCACTTAGCTGCAATTCTGTTTCTGATGAAAATAGAAAGTTYGGCCGACATTCTTGCTAACTTGTTAGYGCTGCATGTTGTTTTGATCACGTGAGCTCTACATGCTGGATCCAAGCACTGCTGGATAGAAACGCTGGAGCRKAGTCTGAACTGCTGGAACGGACTGCTAATATCGGAGCACTTATATYGGAYTTTTTTTTTTTGCAGGCCGATAAAATCCGATACTCATTTTTTGGCTGATATTGGACCGATATCAATATCGGATCGGGACACCCCTAATACTGTAGTTCAGTATGGTTTTAAAATATCTATAACTGTTGAGATATTGTTTGTATTTGTTTTACAGAACATCACTTTAAAGTGGTTGGAATATCAAAATCACTTTGGTATTAAGATAGAAATATGCCCG